CAAGATAGAATCGTAAATAGTCGTGTTGACCCGCGTAGCATTTGATGCATGAGGTTGGCGCAAGAACCACACCAAAACTAGATCCACTTGGGGATACTATTATCCTACATGCATATGCTACGAAAAGGTATTCTAAATTGGGTCCATGACTCTAGAAAGCCTTTTTAGAAACCACCTTTCTAAGACTAGAACCTACCTATGAGAGGGATATGGGTTTTTGCAGAAAACCTAAAACTTCATCTACCTTGTGATTTGCATATTTAGAAAATGTCAAACCTTTGAATCTAAAATGTTCAACCTGCTTTGAGAATCATACAGTGTTATTCAGAATATATCGAACCATTGAACTTGTGGTGTTGCATGTCATTACATGATATCATCAGTTTAAACTTATCATAACATATGCATTCCATTTCCACGGAATCCAAACCTCTAGTCTTTGGTTGAGCTTTTCCAAAAGATGAATATCGGCAAAATGAATACTTATGGGTATAAGTTCAAAGAGCTCATATTTAAGCCTCTCCAAGATTTGTCTTTTTGACTAACTCGTGTTTGTGTGGATGAATTCAAGAAGGAATATGGAAAGCTCGTCACTATTCTGAGTACAATGGTTGACACATGAGATATTCACATTCTTCTTCAGTTCTATGATCCCCCATTAAGATGTTTCACATTCCAAGATTATCAGCTGACTCTCACATTAGAGGGATATTCTCATAATTTGGGTATCGACGTCAAAGATCAAGTACCATTTACTAGCTTGATGAAGATTCCCAAATATCAACGTATTGTTGAAGCTCTTCATTTGAGCAAGAACGATGTGGAAGCTAATCTCAAGACCAAATGAGGTATTTGTAGGTTCACCTTGAAGTTCTTGGTTGAGAAAGCTACTATCTTTTCCAACACACATAGTTAGAACGCCTTATATGCAATCCTAGATCTTCTGATATATGGGATTGTCCTTTTCCCCAATATTTAAGACTTCATGGATATAACTTTTGTGCGTATCTTCATGAACAGGAATCTAGTTCCTAGTCTTCTCGTTGACGCTTATTACTATATCCACATGAGGAATGACAAGAAAGGCTGAAATGTTCTCTGTTGTGCAACTTTGCTATATAAGTGGTTCATGGATCACTTACCCAAGAAGGTACCTTTTGTTGACACCAAGGCTAAACTCAGTGGTCACAAAGACTCATGGCCCTCACAGCTAATGACATCATTTTGTATTCTAGTGAGTACAATGACATTGAAATCATTTCCCACTATGGTGATTTCGCAAATGTACCTCTCATAGGATCCAGAGGTGGGATTAACTACAATCCAATCTTGGATATGCGTCAATTAGGCTATCCAATGCTCGACAAGCCTAATGACAAACAAGTTGAAGATTTCATTCTCCTTGAAGGGGTTGCCAATCCTTAATTTCAAAAATGAATCAACCGAGCTTGGGGTAAGACTAGAAAAAAGAGAAAAGAGAACTTAGTAGGAATAATTCTATCACAAAAGATCCGTACACTCTATGGGTCAAGCAAAGGGTAGAAGACTTCCATCTGTCATTCCCTAAGAAAGCTCCCATGTATCCATAACCTTATGCCGAGCCAACATATGTCTCTATCAAAGTGTTCAATAAGCTCAAGGATGGCAACAAGACACTAGAGGAAGAGAACAAATAATTACAAGCAAGTATGTATAGGGTTACTCGAGAGAGGAATTACTTGAAGTACAACTTCAAACGCAAGGAAAAGGACTTCCTCTAGAAAGATAAGACAGTCAAAGAGGAAATCCAAAAGCGCATGAGGATAGGAGAATACCTCTAAAGTGCCAACAATCTACTCTCCATAAGACATCAGGATTCAGATGATGCTTACCAGCAGATTCACAATTTGGAAGATGATTGGAACATAGCCATGAAATCCAGAAGAAAGATGTAAGAAAAGCTCGAGGCCCAGGTCAATTCTCTGCAAGAACAACTAAAGTATACTGAAAACTACCTCTGTAGCAAGCAATGTCTGAATTATTTGTTCGAGAACTTGATTGAGAGCCTCTATGAACAAGTACGAGGACTCTGAGGCCAAGAACACCAGAACATGGAAGCCTACAACAAGCTACACGAAAAGAGTACCTATTGAGAACATAGATATCAACACTTGGAGGATCTCATGGGCCAAAGAGAAACTCTCATTCTGGACATCATCCAGGGTCCAACTCATGTTTGGACTTAAAATACTCTTAAGGCTGCTCAGACATGGAGAGAGAGGCATCTCGATTTGGAGGAATTTTCTAACATGGTAACTGAAGATGTCCTAAAAGATTGAAGTGAGCTTCTGAACTTATGACTATTACAAAAACTCCTGTAGAGATTTATGATTTTGTCATTGCTTGTAAAGCCATGTTGAAAGGCTTTAGGGTTAATCTTAGGTGTGCCTAAATGTAAAACATATTGTAATAAAACAGTTGTGGTCTCTTTTCCGAATGAATAAAATGAGATGTTTGAATTTTGTACCACTCTTTGGCTTACTTTCTGTCTTTACTTTCACACTTTACGATTACACATTGGAAATAGACGAAATCTGCGGGTTCCCTGGAAATAAAAAATACACAATAATATGTGTTCATGCATTCATTCATATAATATCATGCATTCTCATATTTAAAAAAGAAAACACATTGGGGGCCTTTGCCGAGAATCTCAAGCAAGCAAACTTACTTTCCGAAATTCTTACCGCACTTGAACGAATCAGAAAAGGGTTATGGATCTCTTGGAACAGAATCAGATTTCTCTCTGTCAAGATGTGGACTTTATGGGGTCCAAAATTGACCAATTTCTTGAAGCTTTTCAAACTGTTGTCTGAGGACAAGAAGAGCCAGACAGTATGCCTTCCACTTCAATACCATAATGTCAACCTATTCCAAATGACCCACCACATTCTACATGTGTCACTTTGGAGATCCCTACAAATGTCTCCTAGAAATACACTCAGAAGGAGATAGATGATCGCGAGGACATCATTGATCTACACAGACAGAAGGTCAATCATATTCCTAATTTTGTTGGCCCAGAGACTGCTCAAATGGAAAAGAAGTTTTATATCCTTGAGGAGAGGCAAAAATCCATGGAAGGTTCTAACACCTTCGGTCTAGATGGTCTAGACATGTGCTTAGTGCCAAGAATCGTCATTCCATTAAAATTCAAAGTCCTAAATTTTGAAAAGTATAAAGGCACAACTTTCCCAAAGACTCACATTTGGGCATACTGCAAGAAAATGGCCGCCTATTTTGACAATGTCAAGCTTCTCATGCACTTCTTTCAAGATAGTCTTAATGGAACTTCTCTTGATTGGTATATGAAACTCGATAGGGCTTATATTCTTACCCGTAGGAAGCTTGTTGAAGTATTCCTAAAGCATCCAGTACAACAATGATATGGCCCCAAATAGGACCTAACTTCAAAGTATGGTCCAAAAGTCGAATGAATCCTTCAACGAATACACACAAAGGTGACGCGAATTTACTGCAAGAGTTCAACCTCCTCTTTTTGACCGTGAACTTGTTGATATGTTTATAGGGACTCTTTAAGGCCCGTACCTTGAACGTATGATTGGGAGTGTATCGACAGGCTTCTTTGACATGGTTTTAGTTGAGGAACACATTGAAAACTACCTGAAGAAGGGAATATTCAAGGGGTAACTATTGTAACACCCCATGCTTCTTTTAGAATTATCGACTTACCCCCACAAACCAACCCAGATATTTCCAGCATGATTTATCCTCACTCCCATGCTTTCTGAGAAACTTCCCAGAAGGCCACTCATCCCAAAATTGCTCCAAGTCAAGCACGTTTAACTGTGGAGTTCTTATGAAACGAGCTAGCAAAAAGAAGATACATCTTGTTGATATAGGTAGTACCAATTAATCTGTATAAGCCTTCCTTCAACTATGCAGTTCTTGTAGCCCAAAATTTTCCCTCTTTTTTTTACTCTATTAGCTTTATGCTTCACATTCATCTACATCTTCCATTAGATCATAAACTCACAAATCATGCATTTTCATGAGTTCTTAAGGCATGGGATCAGCAGGTTCTTTGAATCAAGGTTTTTTGTGTGCCTTGAGGTTCTTTCACTCAAGTTTGAAGAAAGGGTTAGACTCACATTATTGTGAGCATATTTCTTTGTCAAGATTCATCAAATATCATGCCATCTTTGCCAAGATTTCTCAAGAGCATCAAATGTCAGGGTTGCATCAATGGTATTCAGGATTTCATCATTGATGACAGTTGAGAGGGCTATGGATTAGGGCTTTGGTGTTAAGCTACTTCTTCATTCAATATGCATTTAAGGCAAGAGGATTGGGTGCACATCTCAGCATAATCATGTTTGTTAATTGAAGTTCATTGAATATCTTTTACAAGATTCTTCAGGGCATTATTTTTGGTAAAGAACATCACGTGATGAGAGATTTTGCCAAGTTAAGGTATCTTATGGATTGAATTGCAAAGGTACGGAGCTGTGACACAAAGATGACGAAGGTTAGTGATGACACTTGTTGCTTGTAAGACAATATTAATGTTGATCGAAGAATTGAGTTGGTGGGAATTCATTTTTGTGGAAATGTTCATTCAAGCGATATTTGATGCCATGCGCTCAAATTTGTTCAAATTTATCAAACATTAAATGCATATGTTTGTAAGGATCTTTTTGAAAGCAAATCATTAATTCAAGATTCATTTGGGCTTCTTATCACCAATTCAAAATTGGGTTTGTTTGGTTACTTATGTCACAAGTCATGACTTTGGATTTCAAGCCAAAGATTAAGGCTCTACACTGTGGCTTCATCCAACTTGTCAAAAGGTGAAAGAAAAGATTAAAGTACAATTTGAAAGATGTCTTAAAATGTCAAGGCCTTGTAAGGATCGTTCAAGGTAAAATTAAAGGAAAGGATTTGGAAATTCAAAGGCAACGATGTAAGCCAAATTTTCAAGATTCAACAAGTTTCATCAAATGTTCAAATACATTCAAAAAGGAATACAAGTGCATAAAACCCTAAATCCTAAGTTCTATCCTAATCTTCAAAGAAAGCATCATGATCTTCATCGATTCTTCTTGTCCAAATGCTTTCAATGGCCTTTCAATACACGTGACTTCTTTGTTCTCAAGCCAACTCCAACAACCAGCCCTGCACAAGTATTTTGGCAGCTGAAAATACAGAAGAAAAAGAGGATGAAACTCGTAATAAACCGTGCAGCATACATAAAAATCAAAAGAAGAGAAATTGTTAAATCAGACAACAGAATAAACAAAACCAAAGTTTGACAACTCAGCAAATAACTCATAACAGAATTGCAGAGGCATAAATTACCTCTCAGCTAAATCGAATCCTATCCATCCATCGCTAACCAACTTCTTTCAATCCAATGGCCCTGAGTCAAGTGGCTGTAACAAACTTCTATGGATATAACAGAATCTCCCTCTTCATTCAACGAGGGAGAACTTATTTCACGAAGAAAAACGCAGAAAAGACAAAAATAAATCACCACGAAAAAAGCTGAAAACTCTCTCCTTTCTCTGCTCTCTCTCTCTCTCTCTTCATCGTCACTAAGAACACGATTCATACACGAGAATTACCAGAAAAATCCTCAAAAGTCCTCAAAAATCTCTCTGCACTCTCTTCTTCAAACTTCATCGACGTGAACGATTCTTCTCCATCATCAATGTGAGCACAACGATTCTGCAAACGACCGTCTCTGCAACACAACGTCTCGCATCAATTCATTGAAAACTTCATCATTCTGCATCGCAATAACAACAACAACATCACAAATTGCTAACAACAGAGAACGCAGAAGAAGAACAAGTAGAAGAAGAACGAATAAGAGATTGCAAGTGCTTACTTGAGTTTTCATCACCGACATCGTCGAAGCGAGATCGGAGACGCGTTTGAAGCCACGAAGAAGAGAACTTGCAACTGACGTGAAGCTAGAAGTGAGATCGATGAAGGTTGAACCTCGAAGACGAAAGCAACAGTGAAGCGGAGATGTTAAGATGAGATGAACGAACAACTAGCGAAATCTGTGAGACGGAGCTTCAAGGCTGAACGGAGGACGACGCTGTGTGAGAGTGAAACGCGATGGAGAAGAAGACGTCGGAGTGGATCAGAAAAGGCAACGCCCGCGGCTGAGGGGGTGGAGCACCGCTGTAGACTTGAAGAAGGAGAAATCTGAACCCTATCCTTTTGAAATTTGGCCAATACGTGGTCTTTTGGTTTTGTTTTTGTTTTGTTTCGTTTCATCTTTTATTATTATTATTATTATTAATTCTAGTAATAAAATATGATGTTGCAAAATATTTGAATAGACAATGCTGAAAATAAAAGTGATGTGAATATTGTTGGATCAAGGGCTGCTGGGTTGAACCACACTTTCCTAAGGCCCGTCAGCAATTTTTTTGGTGCACCTTTTGGATTGTGAACTAAAAAGGCTTATGGGACTATTTCTGGGTTGGGCTTAGTGCCTCATTCTGATTGCCTGCAGCATACCATTGGATTCAGCTGGTACCCCTAAGCTTATTTCATGCTATAATTGTTGTGATCGATTTTTAATCGATTGTTTGAAGCTTCAGATATTTTTCTTGAGTTTTTTTGCACGCATTGAATAAGCAATGGACTTTCTTCGTTAGATATCACTTGAATCTCAATTTTATCTCTTTCACGCATCATGCTAGACTTTTATTGATTGCTAGAAGCATATAGCTTAGTTGCACCTGAATTCCTACCTTTGTAGGCTATGTATTTGCGTAGTTAGGAATCAATTGGAGATGATAATTGTTGATCCTTTTAGAGATTGTTGCCAATTAATTTGAGGCATGCACTTTGTGCAATTTTTTTGAGGATTTTTCTTGACATGTAGCATGATTCCTAACCTACATTTTGCATTTTTGTCTTGATTATTTGAACCTTTTTAGGTCATAGTTTGAATGCTTCTTTGTTGCTAACAAAAGTGTTAATAATGTGTTAACTTTTGAGCTAAGTTAGTAGCTTGCTACTTGTGCAATTGCTTGATGTCTTGTTTAAGGTTTAGATAAACTCTTTGCCAAGCTTGTATGCATGCTTAATTTACATTTCTTTTGATATTGAAGTCATATACTTGATGATACATGTTTATAGTCTAAGGTGTTGATGCAAGATCCATTTTCCCCTAGTTAGGAGTTTGTTACTTGTTGAATTCCTTTGATGACTCTAAGATGTGATCAAGTAAAACTTTATTAAGGTGTGTTGCATATCTATGTAAATACTTGATGGTTATTTAGGTACTTGAATACCATGTACTCAATGAATCATGATCATGCCTAAAAAATATTTATGTCTTGATTAAACTATAACATAGTTAGGAGCTCACTACGTCTGTAATCTCTTGATGGTTTGGTAGATGTTTAAATAACTTTATTGATAAATTGTTTACATGTTCAAATGCTCATTTCTCTTGATGTCTTGATTATATATGAGAGTCATATTCTAGTTTAATCATGCTAGTTGACTTAGGAGTTGATGCATGTTCAACTTTCACCTAGTGTTGCACCTAAGCCTTTGTGATGTTTTCTCTTCTTGTGAGACTTGGTTAGGCAAGATCTTCTTGTGTATGCTACTGACTTGGATACATGTCCATCTTAAATAACTTGTGCATTACTTGTATGTTAAGCTTAGTTTACCTTGTTAGGTCCCAAGCTTGTTTACTTTCAATACTTGTTGAAATTGTTTAGGGTAGGTTTGAAAACCTCAATTGCATCATCCTTAGGGTTTGAGCCTTAGTTTTGCTTGCTTACTTGTAGCTAACCATTGATACCTTTGTCATGATAAGTTAAAGTTTATTACTTGTTGAATGCTTGCTCCTAACTTGTTGATACTTGTTCAACCTTTTTTATTCTTGTTTATTACTTGTTGATACATGTTCAACTTGATTACATGTTCACCTCTTATCTTTTGATGGTTGTCCTAAGTGATTAATTGTTCACTCATTGCTTGAATACTTTCTCATTTCTTCTTTGATACATGTTCGATGTGCTCACTTGTGCACCTTCTTAGCTTGCATGTTGTTATGTTTACAGCCTTAGTGCTTGGATGCTTGTCCGTTCCTTTTGATTCATGCTCAACTTAGCACTTGATATAATACATGTTTAGATATTTTAGACACTCTTTCTCTTTGAAACACTTACTTGTTGTATGTATCATATTACTTGTTTAGGATCATTGTGATGTCTCTTGCATTCTTGTCTTGATAGCATTTTACCTTTCTTCTTGGTGTGATACTTTGATGTATGCTTGTCTTGATAGCATCTTACCTTGATTGTTGGTTTGACATCTTTATGAATGCTTGTCTTGATAGAATTCTACCTTGCTTGTTGGTGTGATACTTTGATGTGTGCTTATCTTGAAAGCATGTTACCTTGCTTATTTGTTTGACATCTTTATGCATGCTTGTCTTAATAGTGTTTTACCTTGCTTGTTGGTGTGATACTTTGATGTATGCTTATCTTGATAGTATCTTACCTTGCTTATTGGTTTGACATCTTTATGCATGCTTGTCTTGATAGCATTTTACCTTGTGAAATTCTAGTATGCAGATATCAAATGTCCTAAGAAATGTCGAGACAATGATATCTGATCAAAACACAATGATAATATAAACATAATTAAGAATACTAAAAGTAAAAGAACACACGAAGTTGTTAACCCAGTTCGGCATACAACAACACCTACGTCTGGGGGCTATCAAGCCAGGGAGGAAACTCACTATATAGTATCAGTTTGTAGAACTTCAGAAAATTATCTCCAGTTTACCATTTATGCGCTTAATCACTACCCTTTCTTAACTTCTACCTAAGACTCACAAAGGTATGAGACCCATCTCACTTCCCTTTCAATCACAACAGTGATGAAACAACAATACTTTAAAACTTTTCAGAAGTCATGCTTAAAATACACACAATCATTCAATGCTTAAAAGCTTTAGAATGATTGACATGACTTACAACTCAATAGGGATAGTCCTTCTCTTATACCAAGATGATATTAGAGAGGCTCACAAAATAACATGAACGTAAAAATCCAAAAAGATTACTTCACAGTATAATACGTTCCACACAACAATTAGGTTTGTGGTCTTCTATTTATAAACTTGTCTGAACTGGATTTGGGCTTCAAAAATGCAGCAATGCGGTTGCTAAAAATCTGCATAATCTTTTGCATAAAAGTAGGTCTTCAATCAAAGGTTTCCTAAAATGTATCAACATTTAGAAAAACAATATAACTTTAAGCTTAAGCATAATTTTTTATTCCTCAATCTTGGGTTCCACATAGGATTACTTAACATTCTTAGAATATTCAGTAATCATTAATTAAACCAAATAAATCCAATCTGCAAAACTTCAATAGACAAGATGTCGAGACTTCGTGTTGGGACATCTTGTTCAATATGTTGCTACTAAGTTAGTTTTACAAAAATTAATGCCAATCATAAAATAGATAATTAACAATCTCCCCCTTTGGCAAATTTTGGCTAAAAGTCACAAACAACCCTTGCATGCAAGCACCATAATCCCGGTTCCAAAAAAGCACCATAATCTCCCCCCTTTCCTTAAAGTTACAGTACTAGGTACCTGAGAAGATGTCAGGACAATATCTAGAACATGTTCTCCACCAAACCGTTTATAATGCAAAGTCAAAGGAGATTCCTTTTTCTTCACATTATCAACAACCAATAGAATACCAGGGTGTTGTTTCAACATAATTCCACAGATGAGAGAGGGAAAATAGATAGGTATCTTAACAATAGATGAGAATCCTTGCTTCAGGATTTGATAAATTATGTATGCTCCAAAATAAAATGCCCTTTCTTTACCAACAACATAGATGAACTTACCAAGATCGGTAGAAATAATGAAGGTATAGTTTGTGGGAATCCAATTAATAGTACCAACCCTATGAAGGATTGCATATTTAACACTAAGCTTTCCAGCTTACAACTTTCCTCTATTTGGCTAGTGCTTCAATTTCCCACAAGTTATCTCACTACAAAGTTGATCATTTGTAACCTCTAACTCTGCTTGAGGTTTTTTAGACCTGCCCAAAAAGTTGTTGATCACAGCAGGAGAGAATGTTACAACATTACCTTTAACATTAAGTTTCTTGTAGTTTTAACTCTTCATATCATCACATCCACTAGGGATATTCACCACAAATCCTTGACTAACCTTTCATAGCAAGGACCAAATTTTGTGACAACTTTCATCAACCCAGCAGCCTCTATAAGCTTCACAACCTCCTTACAATTTAGGACATCCTTACCTAATTCCCTCTTCAAGTCTATCCTCCTTTGGTAAACATATTTCAATCTTTCAGCATTCTGCTCAATATGAAAGAACACCTTGTCTTGTGGAGCTTTAGTTACATCACCAGAAGGCTTCTTTGAAGTAGAATTTCTGATGGGAACGATTTCTTGGACATCCTCTTCAGCTTCAGACTCAGAGTCACTTGAAGACACAACTTTCCTCTTCCTCGTAGGGACAACTGAAGGTAGATAAAACACAAGAAAGTGGGGGTTTGAATTGGTTTTTAAAAACTTTTTCCTTTTGAAAAACTATTTGATAAAACTATGAAAGAATATAGGATGCTATAAATATAAAGAGACACATTCAGTTTATCCAAGTTCACCTTCAACAAGGCTACATCTTGTCCACCCTCCTCAGATTATTTTACCTTAGATAAGGACTTAATCCACTAATCTCAACTGATTACAGATGCACGGGCTCCCTGCCGGTGACTAACAACAACAATGATCTTACAGTTACTGATCCCTTAAGAATTCTGACCTACTCGGTCCCCCAAGAGATATAACGATCACTGACCCCTCAAGGATTCTAATATACCCGGTACCTTAGATAATATTTCATCTACAATGACCAGCTGTGAAAGTCTTTTCAAGTATACACATCTTCACTCGATCACTTGAGGCAACACCAATTCTAGAAATAATTGTTTCTGGAAATACAAGAATGCTTCTTAATAAGCAGATTACTCCTAGTTTAAGTAAATGATAAAACACACAAGTGTTTAGCAAGATATGAGCAACAACTCCTTGCTTTTACATAATTCTACAAAGATGGCTATAAATTTAATTTCGAGTGCACCATCTTGTAGTCTTCTTCATCATTATCTTCTTCTTCTTTTTTCTTCTTCATATTTTCTTTTTATATCTCTCTCATTATAGTTGTTTTAAATATGAATAACAACTTTGG